AGTCGCCTCCCGTAGCAGCATGGCACAAAAATGCACAGCGAACCCATAAAGTTTATCAATCTGATGCAGCAAGTTGAATTGACACGCAACCGAAGTGACGTAATGCGGCGCCTGACGGACCGGCACCCCGTGTTTTGATATCGAAACGGTTCTTTGATGAGCGGATTGCCAACAAGCAAGTCAAACGAACTGAAAGATCACCTGTTGGAGCCATGAGTTTTCTACGGCGGCCATATATTTCAATGCGCGCGCATACTTCCACCAGACGAACTACGGCCCCAGTTACTGAGAGAGCTGCACGATGCACACCCTGGCGTGAACATGTCGCAGGCGCTGGCGCGTGGTTACTGTTGATGGCCGAACATTAATCAAGACATAGAGCGACTGCTGAAAAATTGCATATGTCAAAAATACGAAAGACAAAATTCTCCCAGACCGATACGTCCACAGCGTTGGCCGGAGAGGCCCTGGCAGCGGGTACACGTGAACTACTTTGGCCCAATCAGTGGAATGATTGGTCTACTTTTGATTGTTGCTCATTCTAACTGGATTGAAGTACATCCAGTTCCACCTGCGACTGCCGCAGCAACAGTTGCAAAAATGTGCTTCATATTCGCTATTTTCGGTATCCCAGTCGGTATGCACCGATAATGGAACACCAGTTACCAGTGGAGAGGTACAGCAGTTCTTGAATCACAACAGAATATAGCACATCAAGTCTGCGCCGTACCATTCCGCGTGCAATGGAATTGGAGAACCTACAGTCCAGACTGTTAAGCAAGTTGCCCTTAAGCAGACTCACAGAACTGTGCAAAGTAAGTTGAATCGTCTCCTGTTCCCTTACCGCATGACGCCGACTGAGTCGACAGCTAAGTCACCCGCGGAGTTAGTGTTTGACCGGCCACTACGAACGAGATTGTACCTACTTGTTTCGAACGCCAGAAGGAGAATGGAGGTATAACAGGAGATGTGTGGGAATGACAAGATGCCAGAGGAAATATGTCTCGATTATACTGATCCGGTATAAACAATATTGCCTCATGGAGCACGATGGCAACCTGCTAGACCCATGGCCTCGAACCATAACCAAGTGGGGATACAGCTACAGGACAGTCGTGTGGCGCGCCGCCATTTTGACCATATCCAGCCAAACTCAATCGAACCATATGAGCGGGATCAAAATCGACCGCAACAGATGCAAAAAGCACGTGGAATCCTCCTCACAAAAACCACGAACTACAAACGGTCGCGGAACGACCTTAATTAAGACGCTTAAAACGCATGCCTAAGCCGGTTGATCAGTATCAACCCGGAGGCTGCAGTCTTTACCAGGAAAGAGTGGGATGTCACATGTGCTACTGAGTATTGACTCATGAACACAGGTGCTCACATTGTAGAATGCAGACAAGGGAGAACCACAAGGATTGAGACGCAAGTTCTATTACGCAACACGTAGGCTCTATAAGAAAGAATCAGTAACATAGGAAGGGATGAAAGAAAAGTTACAGTCAACTGTTCGCTTCAGGTTTTTGTTCTTCTTCAATAATTGCGAAGGAGTGTCTTTCTGAAAGGCAGACAGAAAAGGTGCCGTCAGAGCAACGAGTTAAATTCAACCACGCGCCAAACTAGTTTCGATCACTCTTTACACCGCACCCCTTCTATATAGGCAACGTCCCCGTTGCCACACCAAAGCCCCCTTGAGCTGGTACTTCAACTTCGGTGGCTACTTCTGTCGGTGGCTCATTGTGATGTTCCTCATCCGAATGCGCAGATTCGATATGGAAAGGTTTAAGCCGATTAAAGTGTACGACCATGGGCGGCCCAACGGCGTTCTTTGGGTCCCTAATCACACAAGTCAGATCAGATATTATTCGGTCTACCACGTAGGGGGCAGCCCACTAACGATGCACCTTCGCTGGTATTCCGGATACCGGTGCCTGATGCAAATATACGAGGTCGCCTGCTTTCAACGGGACACCGAAGACCTTCTTGTCGTAGTATTCCTTCTGTCGCCGTTGAGCGTTCGCCAAATGGATGCGTGCCGCTTCGTGTGTGCGTCGAACGGAGTCGAGGAGTTTGCTGACGTATTCAACAACCGACGGGTATACCTGTTGTGATCTCGGTAATCGGACATCCGAGGGCAACCGAACTTCTCTACCCGTCCACATAAACGACGGCGTTTGTCCGGTAGAAGAGTGGACCGTACTGCGATAGGCCAATAAGCATTTAGGCAATAACGTATCCCACTCGTAAATGTTCTGGTCCACGAACGCCTTCAAGAGTGACTTCAACTAGCGATTCGTACGTTCAACTTGTCCGTTCCCTTGTGGGTGGTAGGCCGTTGTTCGCGTTTTATCAATACCGAGTACTCTGCACATCTCCTGGATCAGTGAGTTTTCGAAACATGATCCCCTATCGGAATGCAATTGCCCAGGCGCTCCCCATTGGCAAACCCAGTCGTTAGTCATCGCTGTTGCCACAGTGAGTGTATCAGCCTGCGCGATTGGCACGGCTTCGCACCATGACTAGAATGTAACGATTTCCTCTCGGCGTTTCCGGTAGTGGACCAACGAGGTCTACTCCAACTATTTCGTTCGGGTAACCTGCTGTCATGGATTGTAATGGTGCTCTATGAGCAATAGGCGGATTTTTGAACTTCGCGCATCTTTCGCAAGTTTGGCAGAACTTGACAATGTCTCTTCGTTGGTGCGGCCACCAAAATCGTTGACGCGCCGCCGATTCGAGTTTATTGATTCCAGCGTGTCCCAGCTGTTGGTGCAGTTCCGACAGCACTTCGGTAAGTAACACCTGTGGAACAACGATCCTGCTCAGGTACGTGGGGCCGAAATCGAAGACCAACACACCCTCTTCGATGGCGAGTTTATCCCACATCGCCCACAAGCACCGAGCTTCGTACCTTTTCCCTTCCATTTCTTTCGGAGCTGGTTTGTCCCTTCCCGAGCGCCGCTCATGGTAGATGAGTGATATGTCTGGGTCCGAAGCCTGTGCCTCTTGCCAACGACCATACTCGGCTTTTTGTAGGTTGACTAGCGCTACGTGTTGCGTAATGCAGGGAGGACAGTTTCCGTGATCTCGAGACGGAATCCTCGATAGCGCGTCCGCATTGCCGTGTAGTTTCCCAGGCCGATGGTGACATTCGAACTCATACTCCTGTAGTTGCTCCTGCCATCGAGCAATCTGCCCCTCAGCGTCCCTGAAGTTTTGCAACCACCCGAGTGATTGGTGATCAGTCCGTACTAAGAATTTTCTTCCTAGAAGGTAGTGCCGATTTTGTTTTATGAAAAACACCAACGCCAACATTTCTTTCCTTGTCGTACAGTAATTTCTTTCTCCTGACGTAAGGCTTCTACTACTGTATGAAACCAGTCTCTCTATGCCATCCCGCCCTTTTTGTGACAAAACCGCTCCAATGGCTTGATCGCTAGCATCCGTGTCCAAGATAAACTCCCCAGCGTGTGGTGACAAGTCGGGGAAGATTAACATCGGGGCAGTACACAGAGACTCACGTAATCGATGGAAGCTCGTTTGACATTCGACAGCCCAATCGAAATTGCGATTATTTTGCAACAACGCGTTTAAAGGGGCTGCGACCTCCGAAAACCCTTTTATGAATCGACGGTAATATGATGTCAGTCCTAAGAAACTGCGTAACTTCTCGGCATTAATGGGAATTGGCCACGCCTTTATCTGATCTGTCTTGCGTGGATCTGTCCGGATGCCTGCTCTAGAGATGATGTGTCCGAGATAGGTAACTTCTTCTTGTAGTAAGCGACATGTTTTTGGTTGGAGTTTCAAACCTACCTTGATTAGACACGTTAACACTTCAGCTAGATTGCTTAGATGTTCCTCCTACGTTCTCCCATGTACGATGACATCGTCCAGATAGACGAGACACTTGTGAGGAATTAAATCCTGAAGCACTTTCTGCATAAGGCGTTGGAATGTTGCAGGAGCGTTTGATAGGCTGAAAGTATTGTTTGGAACTCATAAAGACCTGAAGAGATTACAAAGGCTGTCTTCGCTCGGTCACTCTCTTCAACTTCCACTTGCCAATAGCGGGACACCAAATCTAGCGTGTTGAAATAAGCCGATCCTCCGAGCGCGTCGAAAAGGTCATCGATTCTGGGCAGTGGGTATGCATCTTTCCGCGTGACCTCGTTTAGCCGCTTGTAATCAACACACAGCCTAAAGCCACCGTCTTGCTTCTTTACCAAGACGACTGGGGCTGCCCATGGGGAAGTAGAGGGTCGTATAACTTCCCTTTTTCAACATCTCGTCTATGCGCTTTTGCAGCTCGCCTTGCCAGTGCACTGGGATCCGTCTTGGGTGAATCTTAATCGGGGTCGTATTCCCGGTGTCGATTAGTTGTTTCACGACGCTGGTGCGGCCCAGGTCTCCAGTCTGCCAGGCGAATGCATCAGAGTGGGCTAGCAGCACTTCTTTGAGCTTTTCTAACATTCCCTCGTCCGCTGGCAACACGAGTGAGCAGATAAACGTGTCTACCCGGTGTTCCTCGTCAGAGGGACTCCCACAAATCGTAAACCTTTTACGACTGTCAGCGTGGCCTTGTTTAAGCAATACAACGCAACTCTCGGTGATCAACTGGCATTTGTCTAAATCTAAGTGACATCTCAGACGTCGCAATAAGTCCATTCCAATGATTACAGCAAATGGAAGGTTATCGGCGACAATAAACTCATGGAGGAACGTCTCGTTAGCAATGTGCACCTGAGCAGTGATAGAATCCCGAACAGCCAGGGGTTTCCCATTAGCAGCGATCAGATGACAGTTACATGGTGTCCACAAACAATCTGTCAGCGACTTGGTTATATCAGCTCGGAATAAGCTCCTGCATGCCCCTGTGTCAATTAGACCTACCAGTGGCACCCCTGCTACGATTAGCTCTATCGTTAATGAAAATGCGGACGTTGCACTAGTGACGGCGGGAATGAAAACTGACTTCACACGAATGCACTCACCTTGAAGATTTCGCCTGCCACGGCTTGGCGGGAAATTTCCTCTTCTTGGTGGAGGGGGCGGGGTCTTCGGAAGTACGATTGCACTGGAGGTCGCGAATAATCCCCTCGAAACGGGACGCGATTCCAATTTCTTCGGTCTGGTGGTTGGAATCTAGCGGGGCTGTATCGATTCAGCACGCAGCATGGTTCCATGGGGCCCATGGACTCGTCGACTTGCTCTAATTGATCTGCCACTGTTAAGGCTGCCTGAAGACACGTAGGTCGTCGTAAACGGAACTCTCTTTTTACCGAGGGCGTCTGGATGCCCTCGAGCAACTGCTCTAACACTCGCTCGTCCTGTTGTTTCGGCGTTTCATCTGTGTAGGCATTTACCGCCATCCTCCGCAATTCGCGAACGAATGTTTCCACGTTTTCTCCCTGTCTCTGATACCGGGCATGGAAAACTCTGCGCAGTTCATCGGGCAGGCCAGGCCGATCTAAGATGCGGCGAAGGGCAGCGAAGGTTTCCGTGGTGATTTCTCCCTCTAGCACTTAACTATCCGTAACTTTGTCGAATGCCTCTCCTGCTAGCAGGCCCATGATCACCGTATCCCGTTGTTGGGCTGGAAAGTGCTTGACGTACATTTGCACCTGTTTCTCCCATCGGAGATATGGCATGCCTGGAAAAACTTTTCTGGAGGGGGTAACGAGGGTGTGGAAGGGGCGGGTGTCAGATTTGTTGTCATTTTCCGCATAGCGTCCGACAAGGATTCCAAAGCAGAAGCAATCCTTAGCCCCGGATCGGAGGTCAGCGGCTGAATTTCATCTCCAGACAGTTTACCTGGCTTTGCCATTATCTCTTGATCCTGGCAGGGTCGCCAATTGTAGAATGCAGACAAGGGAGAACCACAAGGATTGAGACGTAAGTTCTATTACGCAACACGTAGGCTCTATAAGAAAGAATCAGTAACATAGGAAGGGATGAAAGAAAAGTTACAGTCAACTGTTCGCTTCAGGTTTTTGTTCTTCTTCAATAATTGCGCAGGAGTGTCTTTCTGAAAGGCAGACAGAAAAGGTGCCGTCAGAGCAACGATTTAAATGCAACCACGCGGGTTGATCAGTATCAACCCGGAGGCTGCAGTCTTTACCAGGAAAGAGAGGGATGTCACATGTGCTGCTGAGTATTGACTCATGAACACAGGTGCTCACATGATTGGTTGATAATGGCCTTGCCTTCCCTTCCTTATGTCATTGGAGTTTCGTTTCGGCATATCTAGCCACTGTAACGTAGGAAACCTTGATTAAACTGTTCCATACTACACCAGTGCGTTTTGTTCCCGTCCATCGGCTAAGTGTCATATTTAACAACAACGGTAGCGTGCTGAGCAAGTTTGTTGAATACTAGTTGGAATCCAGTATGGACGCCCAACATGGATGGTGCTCTGTCTGTACAGACATTCACCAACTTCGACCACAGTAGATCCTTCTCCTTGAGGAAATCCTTCACTGTTTGAAAGATATATTTGCCACGTATACTTGGACCGAATGATCCTGAAAACTAGTACTCTTCTTTATGGTCGTTGCCTTTTATCTACCGAACATTGACACGTAGCTTGAAAAAAGTTGCGAGATCGGTCAACTCATCTAACTGTATTGCGAAGCAAGACGACTTTATTTCGTTCAGCACCGTGTTCAAAATATTCTTGCTCATGCCCGTGATACGACTTTTGATGGTGTTGTTAGAAAGTGATATCATACATATCTTTTCCGCAGCTTGCTCTCCAAGAACGAGTTTCACAGCGTCCATTATGTAAAGTTTGTTGACACACTTTCCTATAGTATGCGGTTCTTTGTTTATGGCGATTCGGAGAGCGATACGGTGCGAAGCCTCAAGACCACCTTCATTTGACTGAAGCAAACAATCGCGAGCTATCTTACCTGGTTGTTTGACCAATGCTGCACTAATAGTTTACAATTGACTTCATAATTCGACCCGGCAAACGACTGCCTGAATCAGAAGAACAACGATAGACGCTGGAGCCGACAAACGCGTCATCTATTAGCTGGTCACTGATGGCTAAGCAAAAGTGCATAGGTACTTAGCGACATGTTTTTGAACAGATGACTTTGTTATTAAGCTTATTTTGCGACTACTGATGACCCGATCCTCTTGCTAATATTAGCCCCCTTAAAATGCCATTTCCCCCTTTGGTGCTAAATACCTCCAGGATGGAAACCCCTGATCTATTCTCATGGCGTGCACTCTTTTGTATTTTCATAACATTTCCGTCTCCAAGTATGAGCTGCTATCAGTTGTAGCAGCATCGACTATGCCACGCAATATCAAGAAAAACGCTTAAAATGTCCGTACATGGCCAATAAGATGTTTTTATTCCGGTCCATTATACTGGGGAAAAGCTGGTTATTCTGTCTCATCGAAGAACAGGGCATTGGTAAGTCTCCATACTCTGTTAACAAATGATGCAGTCCACTGACTCATGACAGGTCGTTCAGTAAATTAATGGCAATTGTGGGATGTGTCAACAAGCGTAACACCTATAGGAAGTGCGGCAACAACTACCAGCTTACAAAGCCGTGAGACACGCAGCTAATCTATAGACGAAAGGTGCTGCTTTTGGATGAACATCCTAGGAGGGAAACACAGCACTTATTATGTGGAAATTTTTACTTTTTCCGTCACATGATAGACCACTTGTGATACTGGTTCGGAAGAGATTATTGCAGGTTCCAGCATAGCAAATCGGTAGAGTACATCTTCACTGAAATTAACCTTTAAAAATTAGCAAACCTGTTTGATATCAACGCAAGTGTTTGCTATGGGAGTGAACCAAATGCGATAAAGTAACAACGAAGGTTGGGGTTCTTTTTGAAATACTCGTTGCGTGAGTAGATTACAATGAGCAAGCTCAATCTCTTCCGCTTGTGGCGTGGTCAATTGTCTCAATGGAACCGTAACCGTTGTGTCAAGTTTTGCTCGTCATGACTTGGTGGATTAGGAGTAATAGCTTCTTAGCTTACTATCTCTACCAGAAGAGATCAAATAAGGTGGGAAAGCGTCATGGAGTGTAATGTTTTCGAGCGGGTAATACCAAATATTCATCTAACAATGAAATTGTTCGACATTTGGTTTAGGAACGTTAGGAAGGGTTAGACCTTAACATTGACATATATTTGATTTTAGGTAGCTCAGATTGCTCATTTATTAGACGAAATTCATATCCAGTTTCATGCTTGCCCACAGTGCCTCGTTTGGTATGGACCTGGTGACTTTTTGACTCCGTGTGCAACGCTTTTAGCTGATATAGTGAAAATCACTCAATAGTGAATAAATGGTGGGTGCTATCCACTCGCAACAATGCAAATGACGACCGGGTGCGCACTTATTTGCGACCAACCGGCACAGGTATCACGGCTGTGATTCGAACCCATGTACACTGGGATGTCAGCCGAATTCTCTATCCCAAGGTCACCTAGTCGTTGCAGATAGCGCTTATCCCAACGGTTACTGAATCTTTGGGGGTCATTTGGAAGCACACGTGTGGATGAATAGCCACATACAATCATAATCAAGACAGCGACTTACTTCCAGTAGTACTTGTAAAGCTGCCGGTGCATACGAGGACCCCAGTTAAAGCGCGCTCTACTGTGCTGCGAGGCTGAAGCCCGATGGCTTCCAATGTTACGTCATTGTTTCAGTTCGGCTATCGAGCAGACGTAGACCGGCTGAGAGTTTAAGCAGGGGTCCCGTGGTTGTCTTCCTAAGGCATCGAACAATGGTCTGGTTTAGATGGTGACGGCTGTTAATGGCATACTTTCTGGTTTTAATTAATTGCCGCTTCCGCACAATAAAATAGTCTTAAAACGAATCAATAACTTTGCCATGTATTGCGACCATACTCATATTATTAAAAGTTACAATACATCTGTATGGTTGGCAATTCCTCGGCGAAAATATCTGAACATATTGTTAAGTTACCAGGCATTTCCGTTTTCCGTTGACGATAAACTGCAAAAGACATGAAATTTAAATGCTGCTGTCCGTTCCATTTAACACCTAGGGTTGACATCACGATGATGGAAAGGGGACAAAGAGGAGCCGATCCCCAAACCTTTTGCCTCAAGGACCTGCGTATTTTGAAGTTGGGAACTGATTTCGACTAACAGCATGAGTTGATTAGCTCTCAAACCCATCTGTTCAAAATGCAGCAAATCCTCTTGTATGTGACTCAGAGTTGCATTATCAGTCTGGCTGTTCCCCTGGTCTCAACCCAGCACTATGTGTTGGGGCATGCTGAAAAGGCGGCGTGCAACTCCTGTTGAGATTCGAGGTCATACTGACGAGGATTTATATCCTACACATTCCCATGAACAAGTGCGATGAGTGGGTGGGATTAGGTTACGTCTGACTGATGGTTAAGCTTGATCAGACCTACTCCCTACATTGATATACCCTCGACAAAATGAAAATGCTCCATATGCTCGGTTACTTGGTCATGGCTAAGGCACCATATGGCTAGAGGGGTTACTTAGCAGTAAATACTAATTTGAACCATCCAGTACAGCCGGGTGGATTTTGATCATGGTTGAATCACCCCATTTTGGGAAGCAAACCTTCTACATGTCCCAAGATGGGTTTTTCGTAAACCGCATTTTAGGATAATAATATGATGGTAAATATAATACGTGTGCTGGATTTAACGAGACCTGTGTTTTTCGCTATGATCAAACTCCTAGAATTACGTTTCACTAAATAATCCGAAAGGAGGAAAAGCACGTTTTCAGGGAGGATTCGCCAGTTCAAAGTATTAATGTGCCATCCGTACTATGGTCACCGTCGTGCGCAATATTGACATTGTTTGGGGTAAACATCCTATGCACTTCTTCCACCGTTTGGGTGTTGCTTTCCAGCTTCCAAACCGTAATGATATATAACATATGTTGTACCCTTCTGACGGCGAGCTGTGTGTACAGACCGAACAATTTTCTCTTTTCCTAGGGGAAAAGGATGAGAACCAATTGTGTTACGAAAGGTGATTAACAAAACTTCGGTTTAGGCACATACAAACAGCATATTCTCCCATGCGTTGCCATACTCTCTGGAACAGAGAGTGCAAGACGAGGGTTTAGATTCTGTTGGTTCTTCTTTCCCTCTGGCTTAACAGCAGTACAAAAGTGGAAAGACTGATTTGAGGATGGGTGAGGTAGACTAGGGTGACATTTGCCAATCACCTCAGGCGTAGTCGAGTATAATGTGAAGTATGGGAAAACGGATAAATGATGGTACATGATATAGAATATCTTAGCTTCTCCTCGCCAATCGGTAGGATGGCGTGTGAGCAACGGAGAAGCTTGGAGGAGTAGAAAATACATTGAAACACGAATAAGGATAATTGCTACAGTTTCAGTCACCGCTTCCTTTTTAATTCACACTTTTGCATGGTTATAAGTGAGGAGTGACTGATTAGATTGAACATGTAGAGCGACGACATGAAACTATTGATGCTACTGTGAATTTTGATTTCCTAAGTAGATGTAAATGTACTCATTTACGAATAATTGATCAATGCAAGACATTGCGTATAACATCTTGTGCCTACTTGTAATCAGAGCACGTACATCTTAGGCTTTTATATTTGCATACCTACTTCTAGCTTAGGCCAACGGTAATATTTGGTGAGAATAACCTTTTATGAATAAAATGGCACATTAATAAGTCACAATGGTTCCAATATGCATAACTTGCAGCGCTGGGAGTTGCTTACTGTAGATTGGGGGTGAAAAAGGCCCTAGTGACTGAACGCTCTAGTAAACACATGGGGATGCGTTTCCTTTTACTTGCGAATATCTCGGACAGCATACTAACACGGGACGAGTGCAAACATCAAACACATGTAGCCTATAATCGCGCATCGTGAGCGAGTTGTGAAGGGTTTTCGCACATCTTCCTGCTCTGGCCATTGGGAATTCAACTGGCTAACCGAAATTCAATCCGCTAGAATAATGTATGACAAGGTTACGTACAGCATTATTAAAGGAAATGAGCATTCCCCTGAAGTAAAATGCGTTTG